TTCAACACGCTCAAAGGTTACCTGTGGAGTACCACAGGGATCAGTGCTAGGACCAATTCTCTTTACTTTATACATGCTATAGTCTTTGGACCAGGTCACTTTCTGGTCCTAGAGAGACTTCTGTTGGTTCACCTCAGCAACCAGACAAGCAGCAATTAGGACCCCATGCAGTTTGCTTATCGCCATGGAGATGGGGTTGATGATGTCATCATCCACCTGCTTCCACCAACCCACTGTCATTTAGCCAAGGCAGGCAGCTCTGTGAGGATCATGGTCTTTGATTTCTCCAGATTCAGCCTGACTGACTTTGAGAGAAACTCCAGCAGACTCAGGTGGAGCATCAACAACCACCTGGATCAAAGACTACCTGACAGACAGACCACAGGCTGGTAGACTGAAGGCTCAGCTGGCTGATCCAGCAGCTCAGGAGCTCCACAGGGGACGGTTCTCTCTCCATTCCTCTGTTCACCTCTGACTTCCAGGACCAGACAGAGTCCTGTCCTCTGCAGGAATCCTGGATGACTCTGCAGTCATTGGGAGCATCAAAGATGGAGCAGAAGCTGAGGACAGAGAGCTGGTGAAGCGCTTTGTGGCATGGTGTGGAAACAATCATCTGATCCTGAAGGTCAACAAAACAAGGAGATGATTTCAGAAGAAACAGGAACAAGTTGAATCCTGTTAACATCCTGGGAGAAGAAGTGGAGGAGGACTAGAAATCCCTTGGTGTTCACCTGGACAACAACCTGGACTGGAGACACAACTATGAAGCCGTCTGCAAGAAGGGACAGAGCAGACTGGACTTCTAGAGGAAGCTGAGGTCCTTCAGAGGCTGCAGATCTTCTATCAGTCTGCTGAGGAGAGTCTGGTCTCTGATTAGGTCCCTGAAAATGTGTTTAATGTGGTGAAATGTTGAGGAGGACTGAGCTCTGTAGAGTCATGGAGCGGCGGCTCCAGGTCAGCAGGGGGCAGTATGGCTCCCTTCGATGCTGGTTTCTTCAGGAGTTTCTTTAACATCTTTAAAATGATTCTGTTTCTCTTTCCTAGATTCCTCCAAATCTGTGATTGGCTGGAAAGCTTCATTGATCCATTCGACCTGGACGTCTTTACGCCTCCACTGAACGCCAACCTCAACCGGCTGAGCCAGAGAACCTCGGTACTGCTAAACATGCATCACAGCTCGGCCCTGAACCAGTCAGTCACCGNTTTATTATCCTGCTGCCTGCAGTTTGGTTTACGTTCATGAAAACCGCTTCCAGCCGCCGCGGCAAACCGCGAGGAGGCGACCGGGCCCGCCGGTCTGGGGGGGTCTGAGCGGCTCAGACAGAAATAATACTGGAAGGCAGGAAGATAATCTGGATGAACTGACTGCACTGATGAAGTTTTCAGGTGGATTTTCCCACTTAAAAACATTAAAACGACTTTATTCCCACTGATGACAGCAAATATAGCTGCAGGCAGAGAAAGGATCGAGCAGAAGCCTGAAAACCTTCAACCTCTGATCACTTGCATGCAAACCATCCCATGCAGCACAGCTGAGTGAGAAACAGGGTTCAGCTTAATGAACAATATCTGTTGTTGTCAAATATAATTCATCTGATGAAGATCAGTAGAAATGAGCCTCCTGTTAATCTAATGAACTCAGGAAGTTTGTGACATCATGGTTAAGAAACCATCGCTCTGCAACAGAAACCAGCAGACGAGTGAAACAGCCTCAAAACAAACATGTCTGGAACTTTTTATAGACAGTTTTAACCTGCATAGAGCTTCTGTTCCTGCATGTAGTACTTGATACTTAATGTAAGTTCTGTTTTATAGATTCTACGTCTTTTCAGTACAAAGCCAGCTGTAGTACAGTTTGTTGATTCAAATGTAAGCAGCAGAGAAATGAAGCAATGTTAAATGTTCCCATTGCACTTACTGGTGTGCTTCTTCCTAAACAGTTTGCCCACTGCAGTAATGCAGACTGCACCTCTGGCTCTGACTCTTTCCTCCCCTGCAGCCCTCCTGGTTCGTGCAGACTCTGCTGTTCCAGCTGTGCGTGGAGGTGAACAGGGTGGGGGGTCATGCCCTCCCCCGGCCCACCCTGCAGGAGCTGCTCCAGGCCTGTCTTCATCAAGCTCTTCATCATTATGGCGTCCTCTCGGAGCGAATGCGGGATGCGGTGAGTGGAACGCCAAAGGTTCTGACTTTAAAGCGCCGGCCCCTCCTCTTCCTCTGACCCCCTGAATATTTTACACTTTGTCACAAAAAACACCAAGTCCAGTGTTGATATGGATCAGAACCTCCTCTCTGACCCGTCTGCTGGGTTTCCTGGTCTCTAAAGAACCTCTGAGGCCAGAACCAGAACTACTGAAGACGTTTCCTTAATCCGTTATAAAGCCAACCAAAGGTTCAGGCTGTGGTGTGACCACATGTGGAGGAAGTAGGAAGGCGTTGGTACGGGGCAGTCAGAAGGTACATGCTCATCTCTCTGCTTCTCTCTCACCAGGAGGGGGCGCTCCCTGTCACCCAGAACCGAGCCCTGCAGCTGCTGTTCGACCTCCGTTACCTCAACACCACACTGAGCAGCAGGCTGGAGGAGGGGAAGACCTCCAGGTCTCAGCAGGACCCCAGGTAGGAACCTGCAGCGGGGGGGGGGCTTTGACATCCTGGGAAATGATGGGAGCATCACATCTGATCAGAGTTGGATTATTTACGTCTGACTGAGGCTCTTTCCTTTCATTTTTCAAGGTGCCATGGTGTCAAAGTTACCAATTCAATTATTCTATTCAGTGTATTTCTATAGCTCCAATTCACATCATGTCATCTCAGGTCACTTTATAGATCCAGATCAACCAGATCATCCAGTCAGATTGATTCAAAGTTTTTTATCTAAGGAAATCCAGCTGATTGCATCGACTCATTGACTCTTCAGCAATCCCTCTCTAAGGTTGATGGTTTTGTTGATGGGGTTGCTAGCAACATCTGAGGTAGTCATGTATGTTAGATCCAGTTCCAACCAGGTTATTTAAGGAGGTATTCCCTTTGATCAGGTT